ATACAACGTCACATGGAAATCTGGCCATACATTGGGGGACTTCCCAACAAACGTTCGGACACAATCTCTCAGGACATTCGATGACAAATGTCGTACAAAAGGATTTCACATTTCTGTTTTCCTTTTAACATTTCATTCCCTTCCCTGGAAGGAAAACCAAAATCGTTAGAAATTCATTCATTTGTGAAAATCGTTCCCTCCTTCCCATGTTCTCAGTGCTGCGGCTGACAACCAACGTCAATCTGACCCCAATAACTAGAAAACAAACCTTCGTAAAATGAAATGAAACTTTACTACGTTACAAAACCCGCAACATCTTCAGTATGAGGTCCGGTTCTGGGCACCAGTCCTCAGGAAAAATGTGCTGGAACTGGAGAGATCCCAGAGAAGGGTCACAAAGCTAATGAGTGGGCTGGAAGAGATCCATTATGGGGGGTGGAGGAGCTCAGTTATGGGGGATGGAGGAGCTCAGTTATGGGGGATGGAGGAGCTCAGTTATGGGGGATGGAGGATGACCTCAGTTATGGGGGATGGAGAAGCCTCAGTTATGGGGGATGGAGGAGCTCAGTTATGAGGGATGGAGGAGCTCAGTTATGGGGGATGGAGGAGCTCAGTTATGGGGATGGAGGAGCTCAGTTATGGGGGATCGAGGACATTAGTTATGGGGGATGGAGGGCCTCAGTTATGGGGGATGGAGGAGCTCAGTTATGGGGGATGGAGGGAGCTCAGTTATGGGGGATGGAGGAGCTCAGTTATGGGGATGGAGGAGCTCAGTTATGGGGGATGGAGGACATTAGTTATGGGGGATGGAGGAGCTCAGTTATGGGGGATGGAGGAGCTCAGTTATGAGGGATGGAGGAGCTCAGTTATGAGGGATGGAGGAGCTCAGTTATGGGGGATGGAGGAGCTCAGTTATGAGGGATGGAGGAGCTCAGTTATGGGGGATGGAGGGCATTAGTTATGGGGGATGGAGGAGCTCAGTTATGGGGATGGAGGATAGAGGAGCTCAGTTATGGGGGATGGAGGAGCTCAGTTATGAGGGATGGAGGAGCTCAGTTATGAGGGGATGGAAGCTCAGGGGGGATGGAGGATCTCAGTTATGAGGGATGGAGAAGCTCAGTTATGGGGGATGGAGGAGCTCAGTTATGGGGGATGGAAGACATTAGTTATGGGGGATGGAGGAGCTCAGTTATGAGGGATGGAGGAGCTCAGTTATGGGGGATGGAGGAGCTCAGTTATGAGGGATGGAGGAGCTCAGTTATGGGGGATGGAGGACATTAGTTATGGGGGATGGAGGAGCTCAGTTATGAGGGATGGAGGAGCTCAGTTATGGGGGATGGAGGATCTCAGTTATGGGGGATGGAGGAGCTCAGTTATGGGGGATGGAGGACATCAGTTATGGGGGATGGAGGGCTCAGTTATGGGGGAATGGAGGAGCTCAGTTATGAGGGATGGAGGAGCTCAGTTATGGGGGATGGAGGATAGAGGAGCTCAGTTATGGGGGATGGAGGAGGAGCTCAGTTATGAGGGATGGAGAGCTCAGTTATGGGGATGGAGAATCTCAGTTATGAGGGATGGAGGAGCTCAGTTATGAGGGATGGAGGAGCTCAGTTATGGGGGATGGAGGAGCTCAGTTATGGGGGATGGAGGAGATGTTTATGAGGATGAGGAGCTCAGTTATGAAGGATGGAGAAGCTCAGTTATGGGGATGGAGGAGCTCAGTTATTGGGAATGGAGGAGCATTAGTTATGGGGGATGGAGGAGCTCAGTTATGAGGGATGGAGGAGCTCAGTTAAGGGGGATGGAGGAGCCTCAGTTATGGGAATGGAGGAGCTCAGTTATTGGGGGGGATGGAGGAGCTCAGTTATTGGGATGGAGGAGCTCAGTTATGGGGGATGGAGGAACCTAGGAATGATGGACCTTCAGTTATGGGGGGATGGAGGAGCTCAGTTATTGGGAATGGAGGAGCTCAGTTATGGGGGATAGGGAACAGGGGACCTTAGTTATGGGGGATGGAGGAGCTCAGGTTTGGGGATGGAGGAGCTCAGTTATGGGGGATAGGGAACAGGGGACCTTAGTTATGGGGGATGGAGGAGCTCAGGTTTGGGGATGGAGGAGCTCAGTTATGGGGGATGGAACAGGGGACCTTAGTTATGGGGGATGGAGGAGCTCAGTTATGGGAGATGGAGGAGCTCAGTTATGAGGGAGATGGAGGAGGAGCTCAGTTATGGGGGATGGAGGAGCTCAGTTATGGGGATGGAGGAGCCTCAGTTATGGGGAATGGAGGAGCTCAGTTATGGGGGAGGGAGGAGCTCAGTTATGGGGAATGGAGGAGCTCAGTTATGGGGGAGGGAGGAGCTCAGTTATGGGGGAGGAGGAGCTCAGTTATGGGGGTGGAGGAGCTCAGTTATGGGGGATGGAGGAGCTCAGTTATGGGGGTGGAGGAGCTCAGTTATGGGGGTGGAGGAGCTCAGTTATGGGGGATGAAGGAGCTCAGTTATGGGGGGGGTGGATTTGGTCACTCCTGGTTTCGTCTCTTTGGCCAGCAATTCAGCCAATCAGCTCGATCTGTCTGATCGCCTACATTGGAGGCCACAGGAGAGACCCCAGATTGCTCCATAAGGAGGACCTGTTGCAGCCCACGCTGTTGTTCCTCCCTTGTGATAGCAATAAAGTTCATAAAAAAATAAAGAAACTGTAAGAAAAAAAGTTTTAAGTAAAATAAATATTACAAATGTAAAGCTCCCCTCCCCCCGGTGCTCACGCACAAATACGAATGCATACATAAGTCCCGCCCCCTGATGTGAACACATGTGCGGTATCATCGCCATGCGGGGGATCGATCGTTCTGCCGCCAGACCTCCTGTGTGATGCTAAATGGGTAACCTGCCAAGTGTCGCCTATGGAGATTTGGCGTCATTCCACGGGCGTACGCCATTTTAAAGTGTGATTTGTTTGGTTTCTACTTACTAACATTTTTATATTTTGCTAAAAAATGGAATATTATATTGTGTTTGCGTGAAATAAAATTCATCAAAGTCTATTTTGTCCCCAAAAAGTGCTTTGAAAACGCGCTGCGCAAATATTGTTTGACATAAAAAATTGCAGCCACTTAAGTTCTGGAAGGTTTTACCCCCCTTCATGATCAGGCCATTTTTTTTTGCTATTCAGCGCGTGCTTCTTTAGCTGGCAATTGCTCAGTCATGCGACGCTGTACACCAATGAAATGTATATCACACTAATGGAGGTTTCTTTTTGGCGGTATTTGATCCCTGCTGCGGTTTTATTTTTTATTATATAAATGAAAAAAGACTGAAAATGTGGAAATTAAAAACAATATTCTTTACTTTCCACTATAAAATATATATATTCTTTTAAAAATCACATTTCTTCATAAATTGAGGCCAAAATGTATCCTGCTGCATGACTTTGGTATGAAAACTCCCGATACGTGTAATGATGGATTTGCGTGAAATCCACACCATGGGATATATGCTGGAATTTTTTTATCCTAGTAATGGTGGCGATCCGCGACTTATAGTGGGATGGTGATAGTGCGGTGAGTAATCTGACACCACCAGTGACACCAATACAGTGATCATACTATACACTGTCACTGGGTGTTCCTAGGCAGACTGTACTTGCATGCACCCCTTCATAGAGCGCAGTATTCCCTGGTGGCTGTGGCCTCTTTCAGCAGGATAATGCACCCTGCCACATTTGCAATGATTTCAGAAACACCACGAGTTTGAGGTGTTGACTTGGCCTCCAAATTCTCCAGATCTCTATCCAATTGAGCATCTGTGGGATGTACTGATTCATGGAAGTCTGATTCATGGAAGCCTCACCTTACAGGATCTGCTGCTGGCGGCCCTCGGTGCCAGATACCACAGCACTGATGGCACTGGCTGGGAAGGGGTTAACATCTTGGGGCAATAAAAGGCTCAGTGATGTACCGAACAATAATGTGCGATGCGTTTACTACAGATCGCTTTGTTTCTTCTCCCTGCTTTGCAATGTCAGATTGCTGCTCCATGGTTAGAGCCCTGTGTTGTTATGTAACCACAGAGCTCTCTTCTGTCATTCGCTCAGCCGGCCATAAACCATTGGCTGGGACCCGCTGATCATCTTGTGCTGAATGATGGGGGGCAGTGGGTGCTCCTCCTTCTGCTGGGTCATATATACACGTCATGCAGCACAGCAGCTGCGCGCTGTCACCTTGTATGTCCTGGGGCCGGTCTGCACACGGATATTCTCTACAGCCTCTGCTTAGAAAAATGAGAGGAAGACTCTGAGAACCCATCAGATCCCAATGGGGAGGAGTCTCCTGCTGGATCTCTATACTGACATGGATGGGGGGATGGATGTGAGGAACGTAAGGACGACCCCATCATTGGATGGAAATGATGGACCTACTGAGGACTGAATTCACAGACACCCCCGAAAATCAAAGTGAAGAAATGATGCAGCAGGCGAGTCCATGTTGGTGAAATGTCATTGCAGCAACTCTCAGAATGGTCCTCAGTAGTCTGTGTGGCCCCCACGTGCTTCTATGCATGCCTGACAACGTCGGGGGAGGGTCCTAATGAGACCACGGATGGTGTTCTGGGGGATTTTCCTCCCCAGATCTGGACCATCACTGAGCTCCTGGACAGTCTGAGGTGCAACCTGGAGGCATCGGATGGACCGAAACATGACATCCCAGAGGTGTTCTATTGGGTTTTAGGTCAGGAGAGCATGGGGGGGCCATTCAATGGTATCAATTCCTTCATCCTCCAGGGAACTGCCTGCATACTCTCCCCACATGAGGCCGGGCATTGTCTGCACCAGGAGGAACCCGGGACCCACCGCACCAGGAGGAACCCAGGACCCACTACACCAGGAGGAACCCAGGACCCACCGCACCAGGAGGAACCAGGACCCACCGCACCAGGAGGAACCCAGGACCCACCGCACCAGGAGGAACCCAGGACCCACCGCACCAGGAGGAACCCAGACCC